ATATAGATTTGTACCAGTATTAATAAAAATATAAGATGTGATACCAAGGTAAAAATTGGCTTGTTATGCACGTGTTATTGATGATGAGGAAATTCTACCCCAAGTCGTGCCTGAATGATCGAAATGCAGTGGGGAAACTCCCGAACTCAGCTGAGGGAACTAAACGTATACTCCAGTCTGGTAGTCGTTCAGCGTGCGGAGTCAATCGAGATTGAGCTGCAGACGGCGCAGGAAGAGTGCACGGTCATGCATGCGGAGGTGACGGCGAAGACGGCTACCATTGAGGAACGAGAGACCAAGTTGGCCGAGATGAAGGGGGAGTTGGAAGGGCTACAGAACGAGGTAGCGGACGCGGAAGCTCAGGTAGGATGGTGATTTTTTAGAAATGGGAAAATACGCGCATGGTCAACTAAGTGTGTTGGTGACAATATGGAAATTTATTGTTGGTTTTTGTACACTTCTGTCCGAATTCGTGTGAGTTTCTATAGTTAGTGAGGAAACTTCCGAGCTCAGCTGAGGGAAGAAAAGTTTTTCTTCCCAAACTGATGTCTGCAGTTATCGCGTCGACAGGAAGAATATGATGCCTTGTTGAAGTCGATTGAGGAAGAGGAAAGGGAGTGCAATGAGTTGGAAGCGAACCTGGCTCAGCGACAAAGGGATTTAAAGGCTAGGGAGCAGGTGAGTCTCATTATCGTATTCTATCTATAGTGCTGTCAAGTTCCGATTGGCAGGTCTTGACTGAAGCATTGGAGCAGTTGAGGTCCCAACGGAGGAGCACTTCGCGTTTGTCAGATGGACCGAGTGGGAGTGATGACGGGGAGTGTTTACAAGAAGAGGATGAGACGGAGAGAGATGTGAGCTGCAGACTCTCTTTTATTTATCGATAAATGTGCCAATTTATCGAGGCTATGATTTTTTTGTCGAACTATGTTGTTAATGTTCGATTTCTTAGCCCGGGTTCGAACCTGGATCAATCGCTTGAGCCGCTCACACATTACCAACTTGGGTGGGAAGTTTCTTGTAACATATCTTAGATTCGCATGTCGGAGTTACGGTTGAAGCTCGAGTCACAGAAAATGGAGCTTGCTGTTCAAAAGGAACTCAGAGTGAAAAATGAGAGGCTCATCAAAGATCTAGAAGACCGCATTCAGTACACCACTCATAAACATATCGTATTCGTATTCGTCCGGTCCCTCAGGCGTATGGACTCACAACAGGAACAGATCATCGCGGAGCTCGTTCCGTCAATGTGACGGTACGCATCATTACTGTGAGGGAGTGGAGTTTTCTAATTCGAAACGTTTTCATGAATATGAAACACCATAGTTGTGTTCTACTATCGATCAAAACACTGAGTTCGTAGTATTTCACCAATGGTGTCGTTCGGACCAGTCATGCACTCGCATGTTGTGCACAGTTGGTAGCCCGACAAAGAAGGGGTAAGGGAGGTGATAGTATTAATGAGGAATGACAGTCAGCAGGCTATTGTGTAAGGAAAGAAGGAGACAACATAATATGAGGAGTTCCTTCACACTATGCTGCCCTACCATTGACGATTTCCTCACTAGACTACTCACTGGGCGGCTGTATTCGCTGAATACATTTCCGAATGGCATGCAAGATCCCTGGACTTCTCGCCTGATGAGCCTGAGATTCCTGAATCAGGAGTCCCTTTGGCGAATACAGCCGCTGTGCCCGCGGACGAGGACGTCACATACACGA